TCTCTCTCCGTTCCAGCACTCGCTGCTCGGACAGCTGATTTGTGATGCTGCTCACAAGGTGCTGTATGCAGCAATCTGTGCACCGATGCATAAGGGCAATCCAAAAGCAGCCAGATGCTCTACAGTTTGACCGGCATCCATATCCTTATACCAAAAACCACTGCTGCTGAAGGACTCAATTGGTTTCGGATGTGTCCCTCAGCTAACAAGGCTGCAAGTGTTTGAAAAAAACAACAACAAAAAAAAACGGGGAAATGAAAAGAGGACAGAGGAAAAAAATGATATATTACAGAAGACACCACTATCCAATAATATGCACACACTAAGATGCCTGCTTACCTCAGCAGTAGTTTGCTGCTTTGGCTCTCTTTTCATTTATCTTGTTTATGTTCTTTGACTAACACCCCTGCTACTGTCATAATAAAAGATTTATTCTAGATATTCATACCAACCTAAACCTTATATAAATATATAGATATATAACGTTAAAAACCTTTCCACCATGCTTTACATACTGTAAGCTGTGAAGCTTGATAAATAGAATCTTATCTGTATAATTCTTTGCGTAAATATTGCAAAACCATCGAAATCCACAGCTTTTTTTCCCCTTACAGTGGGCGTTTTATTGGATTAATGAGAAGATGTAATGCACACTTTCACTTGACGCCAGTGGTCAACCAGACAGTTTGGAGCCCTTGGGGCACTGCTGTGTGTCACTGGGAATTATCATCCTCCCCTAAGTGAATCATCCACCTTATTGGGCTGCAATGAGCGCTGGAACCAAAAATCAATAAAGTCTCAATCACTAAAAAGGGAAGGGGTAGGGATAGAGAGGGGGGTGGGTTGCTGCAATTTCAAAACATACATCTGGAAGGGAGGATCGCAATTTGCTCCCTTTCTGTGACATTGCCATTTCTCAGTGCTGGGTCGAGGCCGTAATAGATACTCGCTGTTTTTGAATTAGAAGTGATTTGGTAATTAAAGGGAAGGTAATGGTATTCCAATAAAGTTCACATAAAGAAAAATGAGTAGAGGGCTCTGTACATCTTTGTCCGCTCCATATATCCTCACCTTCCCCTTCCAATTGATGGACAACCTGCTTTATCTCCTAAACCACAGCCACCCCTTTAATAGTTTTTTTAATAACAAATTTTACTAATACCGTTAATGACAGTGGTTCAGTGGTTAGCACTGTCGCCTCACAGCAACAGGGTTTGATCCCAAAGTGCCAGATGGGGCATTTCTTTGTGGAATTTGCATGTCCAGCCTGCACTTTCATGGTTTCCTATCGGCTTCTTTTCAAATTCTAGGTGTGAATGGCCGCGAGTCTCTCTGCTTTAGGCCTGCAGACCTTTTGCCTTACAACAGGTGCGATAGGACAGTTGGATGGATGGATGGATGGATGGATGAATGGGTGAATCTTTAAAAACAGCTAGCAAATGTACAATTTGAGTTTTATTTTTAAAGGCTAATTTACTAACCAGCTGATTTTATGGTTTACAGCAAACTCAAAAAAATGTTTTTGCATCTTTGTTCAGCTGTACACTGATACACAATTGGTATTAGTGAGTTGTTAGAGCAGCAGGAGGGTAATTAAGGAATTGATTCAAAATGACTACAGTGCTCAATCATCAATCCAAGAGTGTGACTCACTAATATGCATGCGTGTGTTTATGTCTGTGTCTGTGTGTGTTTAATTAGTAAGGAAGTGAAAGCTGAGGAATAAGCTGTACCAGACCTTGGCTAGACAAAGCACTTGCTATCATGATCTTTTTATTGTTGGTTTAGGCTTTATCTGTGTCTTCTGGTCTTCTGTCAACAACAACAACAACAACAAAAACTGAAATACGTTCTTAAAAATCACAGAGACACAATCCCTCCCTCTAGTTTTCCATAGGGTGAAAGTAAAATGACAGCCTTCCTGTCTGCTAATTTACAGACCAGCTCTGCAAATTAACAAATGTGACAATATCCTGCCATCATCGTCGATCTATCTTTTTCACATTATAAGAGATATTTCATAGCCTTGTGCTCTAGTCTGAATCGGTATCTGAAGAGTGCAAACAGCATAATGATATGCTGAAGATTCATAGCATGCTGGATTCACCCGTAGTAAGCAACACTGGCTTCTCTTCATTGAAATGTGAAACACAGAAGGGTTTTTAGTGGCAAATGTATCAACGCTCTCATCATAATTTGTTTGCTCCCGACTATTGCTGCAGCAGCAGATTCTCAATACAATAATAATCTAGTAATCATCTGCATAATTTCATTGAGTAATAAGTATTAAAAAAAACTCTAACAGACCTTACTTTGAACTAAGCAGGCCAAGTCTCCAGAGAGGTTCTGTGCAACTTAGAATCCATATTTAATAAGGGCTGCGTGTTGTGAAGACTAACTGCACAGAGCTCACAGTCATGTATTAGGAGCTGCTCAGTCAATAACTATAGGCAGCCATTAAAATGCACTACCCAGCCTTCTCTACAAAATCACATGTAGCACCATGTGCTTTTCTGTGCAATATTAAACTCATGTAGCTCCAAAAATGTGACTACATTCAGGAGGAAACCAGAATCTTGCAGTGACTCCGCTACAAACATTCACAAGAATCCAAGTACAAATAAAAAAAATGAAAGAAATAGAAAGTGTGAAAACAAATGCTAAAAGAAAAATGCTACAAAAGCTCCCTAATATAACTAATAATTGTGTGTGTCACTGTCTCAAAATGATTTTTTCTGCAGCAGCTACGTCAATAGCAGCTTATCCAAAGTGAGCACATCATTACACCCTTGGCCAGGTCCAGTAGATTTTTTATTTTTCATGTGGATTCCCTATTTGTACGTGTATTTACTGGATTAGGAGTGTGTTTCTGTGTGTGCTTTTGTGTATTGCTTTTCTCTTTAAGTACTAAAATAGAACATCGAAAGGGAAGGGGAAAATAAAAAGCACATAAGGAGAAAGAAACCACGAAGCTTATTTTCTGTGTATGTGAGTAGAAAAAGGAAACATTTCCAGGCAACAATTATAGGTCCTGACACAGCACATACAGCAAATGTGCAAAAACACATGACATCATCTCATATTTATTTTATTAAGCGTAATCTTTGCATTTATGCATGTAGCTTGCATAAAGCGGTTCAGTGTTGTCGCTGTTGCCTTGTCTCCAAATCTTTTTAGTGACTGCTGCCTTCATGTTCTTGTGGTAAATATTTCATGCTGTGGCTAGCAGTCAAGGATTTGAACTGGGGGTTCTGTATCTTTGCTGACATGCGGTGCTGCAGATGTGAGATGAGAGCAACAATGCAACACTTTGTGTTTCATTGTGTTGGCTCATTTTAGATCCGACACAATGAGGGAAACCTCACTGCTAGAGCCATATAGATACATGTGTGCTTCCACGCTGCTGTTAAGAAGAAGCAGGTGAAATGATCAAAGATTAAAGGGGTACTGTAAGGGGGAAAAACATAATTTAGGACTAAAGGACATATTTTGGTAATGTTTGTTTTAAAAAATGGGTCTTTAACAACTCCACAAGTGAGTACATATACTTATCATATCTATTATTATTATAATGATTTGGCAGCTTTAAGTAAAACACAAACAATCTGAAAATCAAACTGATCAAAGTTAATCTTCGCATATATACACCGTTAAAAGGCGATATAAGTTATAATGAATTTCATATCGACCACTGATCACAACTGGCAACTATTTTATTACTATTTCATCAAAACAACATCTTTTATCCCATTTTTAGAACTTACTGGTGCTTTCATTTACATGTTCTCTCACATGTTCTTCTCACAGAATTACCACATGAACTTGAAGGTTTTTTACAGTTTACAAACCAGGCGATCAGCATTTAAATAATGGCATCAATCTTTGTTATTCGCCTATGGTGCCACATTCAATCCTGAAGCTGATCCCCAGCTCTTACTAACTAATTGTGCGCCACTGGTCCCCGGGGTATGAATTCTCATTCAAAAGATGAGCTGATCAATATTAATAACAATGAGGCTGACACAGGGCAGTGAGGGCTGAATGACGGCAGATGGATAGAGCCAGTATAGAGGCAGAAGCAAGTAAGCATCTTTCAAGGCGTGGCTGTTACCCGCTGGGGTTTATTAGCTGTCTGTAGCCCCTGCAAGGCTGGAGCTTCCATCACTCATGGAAATGATTCTGATTAATCAGCTGAGTGCTGGAGTGTGCAGGGTATACTGGAGACGGGCAAATCCTACAGTAAATCATATTTGCTCACAGTGGGCTGCGCCGTCATGCGAACCACGCCTTTCCCGCTCACTACACACTGCAGTGGGCTCCCTCCTCCCTGGCACATGCAAAGATTTTCTAAGAACAGATGGTAGAGCGGGGAAAGCCCGACTCACGTTTCATGCTGACATCTAATGCAGTCCAAAACATGTGATCACACAGGGCTAAAATTCGATTGACATATTTCATAATGCAGCGGTGATTTCATTTTTTTTGGACTTGCTGTGTAGCTCAAACATTCTACCGAAAAGAAATTTGGTGTGAGACAAACGCAGCCGTTCTTCAGAAAGAGTTATTTTCTATCTCTCAAATAATAAAATTCAACAGGACTTTTCTTTCGGGTCAACTACTGTTTCACCCCAAAGCTCTTGAGAATGTTATATTACCAGACAGTTTCAGAGAGCATCCAGCCATAGACAGCCTGCCGTGTAGGCCGTGCTTTCAGTGGACAGTAAGGGCACAGAGGCAAGCTGGATTTCTGAAATGACTAGGAGAATGAATGATATTTCTGAAAGTGGAGCTGCAGAGGATGGAATCATGTAACAATGTGCAGTGATCTGTCTCTGCTTAAAAAGAACGGTCACAGCAATGATTCTGGACCGCTCTGCTGAAGTGGAGAAGCTTCTCCTCCCCCTCACTCCCTTCTCTCTTTATCCCTCTGTGAACTTTCCAGCTCACCCCCAACTAATGTAGTCAAATACATAGTATGCCTTTGCTTGTCTTATACTTACAGCCAAAAGCTTGAATCTTGAAAGGTATATCTGGAAGTAATCACAGTGAGAGTGTTGTCAGATGTAAATCCTGTAAGAGAAAGAAAATGGCATTTTTATCCTTGGAGTAAAAGAACAATCTATGAGGAAATGCTCTTGTTTAGTAGTCCATCCATCCATCCGCTTATCCTTTTCAGGGTCGCGGGGGGCACTGGAGCCTATCCCAGCTGTTATAGGGCGAGAGGCGGGGTACACCCTGGACAGGTCACCAGTGTGTCGCAGGGCCAACACACAGGGACAGACAACCATTCGCATTCACTTTCGAATCGCACTCATTCACACCTAGTGGCAATTTGGATTATCCAATCCCCACAAATTGCATGTCTTTCGACAGTGGGAGGAAGCCGGAGTACCCAGAGGGAATCCACGCAAACACGGGGAGAACATGCAAACTCCACATAGAAAGACCCCGGCCTGATGGTGGAATTGAACTCAGGACCTTCTTGCTGTGCGGCAACAGTGCTAACCATCGTGCCACCGTGCTGCCTTGTTTAGTAGTTTGACAAAAATTCAAACTTGGCAAATTTAAGGTTGATGAAAAACTTTATTCGTCTTTTGGGTGATTTGAAAGCATTTCAAGATAATATATGACATTAAATCCCACTGGGTGAGCACATATTACTAGTGCACATTACAAAATCTTACTCCAGCAAATCATCATCATTTTGTGCCAATAAATACTGATAGCTTCCTGCCTTTTTTTTTCACACAAACAAGTTGATAAATCCTGTTTTGATCCCCAAAATGGCAGAATGAATGAATTATCCCTGACAGCTATCCGTTGCACACTACTGCTCAGCAGTTATTGAATTAATTCATTTTCATTACCGCAATGGCACTGTAATGACCTAAGTCAACAGAGCTTTGATTTCACAACACAGAAATTGTTGCTTAGTTTGTCTCCAAACCTATGTGCCACAACATCTCCAAGGTGTGGTTTACTATAAAAAAGCATTTACCTTCAAGCATATCAAATCAGACAGTTGTTCACCACGACTCTTAGAGCTGGGTTAGACAAATAACAGATTTTAACACAGGGAACATGTCTCCCATTTGTGGAGTGCATTGTTTGCTGAATTTTGTAAAGAAAATCACCTTTGGTACCATCAGTGTCGAAAACAGGAAATGTCTGACATTTCCTTACTTTAAAAATAGTCAAAGGCTACAGGTGTTATTGATAATTTGGGAATTTCACTTATTACTTTTCTGGCCAAGAGTAAGCTGACAAAATCAATAACAGTTTTAGTTCTTTACTCTCTGCACACCCAGAATTGGTTGACTTCATATAAGCTGACAAAAACCTCCAAAAACATTTCTAAAGCTGTTTATCACACTTAATTTTCTTCTTCCTT